CCCCCTACACTATCCCCCACTACATATTATTTACAAAATTCATACGCTCTTTTTCTATTATCAATACAAAATATTATTTCTCCTCTCCGTGTATTTTTTGTTATTCGTTTTTTTTTCACTTTTTTTTTCTACTTATCAAATAATCAATAATTATCATAAACTCATAAACAATATATTCATATACATATTGATAAAATATTCTGTGTATAATATCTAATATTATTTTCTCGTTTTTCATTATTATTATTACTTTTATTCTATTTTCATAGCCGTAAATTGATAAAAAAAAAAACCAAAAAAATTCTCCTCGTTTCGCTCTTAATGGTACACGCGGCGTGACGGTGACCCGTGAACACACACACTCATACATATACACACACACACACACACACACACACACAAACACACACACACACACACACAAACATACACGCGAACATATATACACACACGTTCACGCCGGAGAGAAACAACGACGACGGGTCGAAGACGACGACAAGTGTCGAACAGGAGTAGCAGCACATCGTCACCGTGGCGAAAGAGGATCGCGTCAGTCCAGTAATGTCGAACAACAGCCAGAAGCTGCCCACCACTGAGCGGGTTATAAAAAGTGAGTTTATCAAAACAATATTGCTTGTAGAATAACCAAGCAACACGACCCATCCCATTTTCTTTTCGCCGTTTTTTCTTCGTTTTTAATGTGTAACAGCCATTACTACTACCTCGTCAACATGATATTATCTCGTAACCGTTTCCGTCAATCGTCCCTTTCGTTTTCACCGTTCGTTTGGTGGTCCTTGCCCCGCAGCACAGATCTAAAAATATCGCCGCGCCACCATGCGCGAGGACGATGCGTTTTACATTATCAATGTTTTGCTGCCGCCGAGTTTGTTGTCCGCGTTTCGCCGAAGACTTCTGATAACGACGGCGGCCGTGATAGATTATAATATGGTCGCAATAATAGTAATGATAATAATAATAATATAACACCAGCTGCTATGTCCATCGCGTCTCGTCCCCGCACTTGCTCGCGACAACTCCTGCCGCACTGCGCTGTCGTTAACCCCTTTTATTGTACGCCCGGCAGTCGGCGGCTTTTCCAACGGCTAGCTGACGACACATCGCGCAAATAATGTAATTGAAAATAATGTAAAACCGAATATGTACGTTATTTGTTAGGTGTATAAATATACAGGGTACCTGCTCCACAGCTCGCCGAAAAGCTATGGTCGTTTTTATACGTCGTAATCGATCCACTCGGGACACCCTGTATTCGCGTCGTCGTCATCGTCGATGATTGCATACGTATCGAAAACAATATTTACGTCACGTCAACAATCGGTAAAACCGCGCAGTTTCCCTGCAGATTATACAACAGTGAATCTTATCGCGTACCTGCCGTCGGAGTGGCGGTAAAGGTCAATTCGTCCTGGAAATTATCGGTTTAATGTCCGATGGTTCCTAACGATACATCTGCCGCAGTAATATTTTTGTTCAAACGGTAGATTGATTTTACCCATTACCATTGCGAGTTAGACGGTGTCGACTATTCGATAAATTAATTAGTCGATGTATTGAACATTTGGTCGACTTCACTAACTCCGTCGCGCTGCTGTTACCCCTTCTGTTGCCAAATATCTTCGTGAAACCCCTATTATTCGTCCGCCACCGTTTTCCTGTTTTAGGTCAATCTAGTTTTTAATTTTTTCTCTCTCCTTTCATACGAAACTAGTTATGTTTGAAACAAGTCTTTAAAAACTGAAATAAACCGAGCATCAAAAATATTAAACATATATATGATAAATATTGTGGTAATCTATGGTAATTTATACATCGTAATAATAATAATAATAATAATAATAATGGTTGTTCGAAAGACCTCTTTGCATTATTTAACTTACCTACGCAAATTCTATGCGATTTTTATTTCAATTGATTCTTTCACAATATTATAGATCCGTTTGATGTGTATTTAATAAACTATGCGGTACAGTACACCTAGTATATTATTGTATTATTTGTATGTTCAAAGTAACGTACAATTTTAACGACGACGGATTTGAAAATCAACTATGTTGTACACCTATTCTTTAATTGTGATACAGGATGTATAATTTGTATGAACTCTAATCACTTATAGTTTTTATATTTTTACATAATAGTGTGTACTGTAATTAAATCGACTTTATGACGACTGAAAAAAAAAATCGTTTTTCTATAAATAAAATATTATCGACCAATATGAGATTATACATATAATATTCTCGTTTCCTTTGTAGAATTTCAAGTCTAAAACATTGTGCAACATAATTCAGTGTTTTAAAATTCCTAATTTTTAAAAGAGTCGGTCATGTATCAAATATACATATATATATATATATATATATAAATGTTAAAAATAAAAAAGAGTGGAATGCGCATTAGTAGGAACATACGCATAATTCTAGGAAGCTTAAGTAGAATGAACACGTTGGCTGTATTGTATATAATTTACAGATAGCGATGTTTGAATCGAATAGGTAAACACGATTATTGATTTTGACGTTAATTGGGTCAGAAAAGAGTCTGAAGCGAAAATGTAAATTTCGTCATCGCACAACGGCGCGCTGACGTTGCGGAATTATTATAAATTTTGTAGTCGAATGTGTTGGCCAGGGATAATTTACGCGTATGTTACGTGTGTACGTGTGTTCGCGAACAAGCTGTGTGATATTTCAATGGCCGTAAAAGAGAAACACGGAGAACGAGTACGTTAAAGAGAAGGCCGTCAAGTGGAAAACGGTGCGGGTGGTGGTATACACGCGTACGCACATGAGAAACCGCCACTGCAATCGCCGCGACCGTGGTGTTGCTTTAATAGATAATAAAACGTATGCCTTAAACGAATTATAGCTAATAAACGTTCTTTAAAAAAAAATAATAAATAAATAAAAATACGCACTTATTTGTTTTTTGCTCATCTATTAATTGCGGAATGCTTCGAACAGTGTTTGTAATGTGTCAATTAAACGTATAACATTATGTTAAAAGAAAATGCCATGTCCCGATAAAACATGGGTTTCTTACAATAATTTGCAAGCTTAACAGATCTACGTACAATTCTTGTCTAGGAAGTATGGTAAAAACTTAAATCTCTACCTTATAGTGGCAACATATTGTACATCATCACTAACGAAGAATGATTGACGATTATGATCACTAACCAAATACCAATTTTATTGTATTATAATACCAATATGCGTTCAATTAGTCTTTTATCGTCGTGTAGTACGTTGTAATTTATATGAAATGCCACTAATAAATATTGAGAGTTTTCAAACTTTCTACAAGCAGTCTCTAACCGTGTACATAATATGTACAATAATTCATTACCCGATAAAAAGCAACGAAAATAATTCGAGAGAAAATATTTTATTATAAACAACAGAAAGTTGAAAAAATTTTAAATCTTGAAATCCACTTGAAATTTTACTCTTCTGATGATCCCTACAAGTTCAACTTGTGTCAAGAGTAATGATGGTATTATTTAAAAAATTTACAAAAACAATTATATATCTACACATAATCTTTTTTCCTTCTGCTATTCGACTATGTGAGTATTTTTTCATAGTATTTTAGCTTTACGTAGCAAAAAATAACATTTTTTAAACTTGCTTTTTTCCTTTTGACAGCTAAAATTGATGTATTTATAATTTTTGATAAAAACTTCTGTAGATATCTGAATAAGTGAAAAAAAGAAATAATCGTTTTTAATCGTTTAAAGTCGACGTTAGACCCGCCCTATTTCATTCTGACATCATTACAATAGATTCATATATTTAGTCTTTGTAAACAGTTTCATCAAGTTTGATTTATCATTAACAATTATGTACAAAAACTTTATTTTAAATTTAAACTAAGTACAACGAAAAAAATATGATTAAATGTATTAACTAATGGGGAAAAAAAAAATTAAAATTTGAGCTACTTATATTTACTATAATTATTCATGTTAAGTACTGTGTGAACGTGCGTCGTGTAAAAATATAGATTAAAATTAAATCATCTACAAATATAACTACTTTTGATTTGGAATTCGAATTGATTGATCCCACATTATTTTGATGTATATAATATAAGAAATTAGAAAACTAATATGCTTTTTTATATTTTATTTGTATAAAATAATATATCTTTATGAGAAACTAGTTTAAAACAAATTAAAATAATAAACTTCCATTATATTATTCCTTGATATTTTAATAATATATGCATTCAGCTGGTTAAATTTTAGATTGCGTTTCACAACAATTATAGTTTTTCTGGTGTATGAATATAAATACTTACCATTAATGTTAGTGTAAGATATTTTTTTTTAATACTAAATAATCATGTAAATATTGCATTCTATACCTAACATATTTAGTAATTATTTAAAAATTGTAATCTAAATATACGTAGTAATCTCTTGAAAACACGAAAATAGACTTAAAAAATGCGTCTAATTACTACTAAGCAGACATGTGTACTCGTATTATTGCTTATGTATAAAACATTTTGGCGTATTCTTAAGCGTTCATTGAAATTGTTTAATACTATATTTTTAATTTATATTCTATAATCAGCGTTACATTTTGAAGTAAATTAACTTCGTACCAAAGCATTTATAAATATTTATTTTAATTGTTGTTATTTTTTGTATTGTTGCGATATAAAACTGAATACCTATTTATTAAAAGTTAAATGTATTACTAATTAAAAATATCTCAAAGTATATAGGTCTTTATTTTATTAATATTTATTTTTAAAAACATCTGACATAAAATAGTAATAATTGTATTCACAGTCCTTGTGTTTAATAAGCGTTAAAAGTAGTGTTAATTACTTAAATTATTTTTATTAACAATTTCGCAACTACATTTTAAAAACTAGATCTTTGGCCTGCCATAACTTATTCCATCACGTTTACAGTTCGTCACAGCAATAATGTAAATGTAAATGTATGTGTGTGTGTGTGTGTGTGTGTTGGCTAATATATGTCGTGCGTATATATGATATGCGAGTTTAGTCTTCGAATGAAGTCGACTATATTGAGATTGACTTAAGCGAATTGGAGGTTTATAATTGAAGCAATTGAATAAACCAGCTTTATTGGTTACACAGGCTCAAAAGGTGGTACCTAGGTCACTTGGCCATAAAAACAATAAAATATACTTTGAAGTTTTCAACAGAGAGCACGGCTCAAGTACTATCACGGTACGTGTCATGAACTTATTTTTTTAACTCGTCAAAAAATCAATATACCCTGCTGTATTTTATCATCATGTATCCCAGCCATCATGTATTTGAAAATAATACATCTTATTGACGAAACAATTTAATTAACAAAATAATATGATAACATAGAATTGAACAGAATTTTTGAAATTCTTGTTGCAGCGAAGAATAAAAGATTCTCTTATTCTATAATCACTTAAAATAATTTTTATTTTTGAAAATATAATTTAATATTACAATCACAGCCATTTTTTTTTCTCTAAAAATGTAATTATTTAATTATCATAATCTTATTTACAAGTATATACTAAAAAACGTTAAGAATAGTAGGTAGTTTTTAAAATTGAACTTCCC